CCCCCCCCCCCCCCCCCCAAACTGTGCGTGCAGTGCGGCGACAGTCTGATGTCTGATCCGGCCAGGGGTGCGATGCTGAGAAAGTGAGGCGGGAAATGCTGCGGACAGCTGCCGGAATAAGAGACCAGCTGCTTGTCGCCTTGCTTCAGAGAATGGCCGGCTTCAGGAATGCCTTTACCTTCATTCCCCCGCAATCTTCCTACGCTGTGGAGACGGAGGTAGAGGCCCACTTGACTGCACAGACACTATAGTTAGTGATGCATGCAACCCTGCTACACGACTTCACTGTATCAACAGAGTGGGAAGCATCTTGTGATATCTTATGTCTTAAGACAAATTCTTATGTGTCTATCATTGCAACAGTACGTATGGCTACAGTAGAGGCAGCAGTGTACAAGCACCTGCAGGACGGCGAGAGTGCACGAGAAGCGCCGGAGGGGCCTTGCAAGATGTCGTACCTGATGGAGGCCCGAGCTTAGCACAAGCCTGCAAGCTTCGAGAAGAGATTGGCGAAAACTCGCCAGGGCCTGGAAGGTTCTGAGCTGTATCGGCGCGCAGCACAGGCATGGGGATGAGAAAGCGTTGTTCTGCAGAGAAGTTCGGATTCGGCTTCTGCCTAGCTGTGGGACTGTGCTGCACCCCTTTTAGGCCTCTGAGGTGCACTTCCTCACAACCAGGCATGGCTCCCAAATGGCTCTGAAGCTTCTGTCGGATGGGAGGGAGGATGCTGGGGTTTTCAGGAATGGGAACCGGATTCCGATGGTCTGGCTCCGACGAGAGAAAGTCAGTCCAGCGCGGGAGGTGGGCCCGAAGCCTGGTAAGGCTGCATCAAACGAGTTCTCGTGCGTAAGTGGAGGCCCAGATTGCGGAGGCAAGCGAGCTCCGGACTTAGTGGCCAAATCTCCGGGAAAGAACGGCTGCCCCCTGTTTGTGAGATCAGTTTGGTTCAGAGATTGCGAAATAGATGCGGTGTTCGTGGTTCCTCCCGTGTGAGGCCCCCGATCGCATGGAACTCGGACCGACTTCGGCACCACTTGTGCTTGTGCCAGCTGGGGCAAGCGAATGCAGCATGGCCAACCAGGTGCTTCTCCATTGCCATGGCAATGCGACCGACATAGGGACCTTGATTAGCACACCTCCAACTCTTGCTCCATCCTCTTCTCCAGCAGCGAAATCCAGGATGATGATGGGCCCATACTACGAACTGGCCAAGGTCCTGGGAGTGGAGGCTGGTCTAATTTGCCCATATGTTCAAATCTCCTCGAGTGGCAGCAGCAGGTCTGTGGTGTGGAGTACAGCGGATACGGCGCGTCCTCCGGAAGGACCGCGCTGTGCCGGGGTGTCTTCGAAGGGAGAATGCGCGAATCGCGAAGGCCCAGTTCTGGCAACAGCTACGCAGATGTGGAAGCCGCCTACGAATACCTCGTGGAAAAAAGGGGCCTCCCGCCCAAGAGGAGCTAGGGCAAGATGCAGGAGAAACTGGGGCACCAGTCCTACTTGCCTTTTTTTTAGCAGGATCGTCGCATATGGACAAAGTGTAGGCAGGCGCGCCCCTCAGTCCCCTCAGTTGGCTGAAGTCGTGGAATCGAGATTCTGCCAGACTTAACTTGCCCAGTGGCCCGGCCACCTCCTTGGCCTCAAAGAAGAGCCTGGGTGGCTGCATCCTTCACTCGCCTGGGAGCTTGGCGTCTTTCGAGTTGTACAAGCTGACACACAGCGTGTCTGTGTGTGTCTGTCTGTCTGTGTGTGTGTGTGCCTTGGGGGTTTGGTTCCCTTTTCGTTTTCGGCTTTTCATGTCTCATGCAGGGGCACGGAGAGGGTGTAGGGGAGCTCCATTGCCTGCGCCTGGGCCCCGTCGTGGGCAGCTGCACTCATGTTCATGTTCATCTGCATCTCATTTCGTGCTACGTCGTTCCTCTGTGTCTGGCGTGGCTAGGGCCCCAAACCATACCCCCGACGGATCATCTCATCTAGCTTTGTTTTGTTTTGCACGCCATTCCTTTGGTCTGGCATACTTGGCACAACAACTTCATCTCATTTTCGTTATCATCATCACTATCAACATCATCCTAGTTCATCGTCAACCATGAGCGCGCCCAACCTTAAATACTGTGTGTGTGTGTGTCTCTGTGTGTCTCTCTCTCTCTCTCTCTGTGCGTGTGCGTTTGTTTGTTGTTTTCGACTGGAGGCCACTGCTCTCCGGCATCAAGGCCCTCATGGCGAAGTTCTTTGTTGATCTGCGTGTGATGCCCGCAGACACTGCGTAGACTTCAGGTAGTGGACCCAAAGCCGGACGCCTGCTGCCGGCCCAGCTGCGTGTGGAGCTGCTTCGACTTCTACCCCAACGACAGGCGAGCGGGGTCGGTCCGGGTGCACTTGCAGTTAGCGGAGACATACCGCGACTTTGAATGCGTTTGCGAGGCGAGTTCGGCACGTCCTGCACTCAGCCAGGCTTTATGGCAGAGCTTCAAAGATCTTCAAAGCATCCTTCGTCCTTCCATCGCCTCGCTGCCCTTTAGCCGACTTTAGCCACCGACCCGCGTCCAGTCGGAGGAACGGGTTTTGTGACGGCGCAGCCAAAGCAGAAGCAGGAACAGCAGGCCAAGCAGGCAAGCGACGCTGAAAAGCGCGCACGTTGCAAACAAGCAAGGGGGTGTGATGCTGCCTCGGAAATGAGAAAGGCCGCATGCATATATTTAGACTCACCAGCAACTCGAACCTCTTGGCAGCAGACCCCGGAAGGAAAGGGAGGGGCCATAAAAAGAGAATATGCAGCAAAAAATATGGAGCCGGGGAGAAGGGCCTGCAGCCTCGACTTCTCAGGTCACGTGCCCCTTCTTCGTGATGCACGGCCAGCGCGACGACATCATCCCCTTCTACCACGGGCTTCGACTGCACAAGGCCGAAAAGGAGGAGGACGATGAAGGACGTAATTTACGGAGGCCTCTTGAGCAGAAGCTGTCGGTTTTGTTGCGAGGCGTGCCCCAAGCAGCACCGCTGGCCGGCCTATTTCCCGACCCGTGCAGGCACTGATTGTTGGACCCCGGAGAGAGCACTGGAGACCTGGCCCTTCTGAGGCCATAACGATCTGGTGGAGACCGACATGCGCGCTTACTTCGGCGAGGCCTGGGCCAGGGAAAATATGGCGGAAAACAGTCTCCCGACCCTTCGTGCCTTTCGTAGCTCGAGGTCTCCAGCTTCCTGCAGGACGTGCGTCGGATTGCCTCCGGCCAGAAGGCCGCCGCCCTATAGGAGGGCTCCCCTTTATATAGGTCCTTTCTGTCTGCGTGGGTGCCGTATATACGTGGGTGCCGAGGCACCCTAATGCAGAGAGCTATACGTCGCTTCTTGCCACTCTGTTGTAGGGTCCCATGGACGTTCCGCTTAGGTCGAGCCGCCCTTCGAGAAACCCCCGCAGGCGCTTGGGAACACACCCCACGCGCGCAGAGCTGTCATTTCCCCTCGCAACGTGAGGTGGAGATGTCGGATACCTCCGCTCCGCAAGGTGCGACTTGAAGTCAACCACGCGTCGAGTGATATATATATATATATCGATTTGTTCTCAGGCAACGGCTCCCACGAAACCGTGAAGGTTGGCCCAGAGGAACCTGCGGAGACCTGTGACAGAATGTCATACATAGGGCCTTTTGTCGGCTGCCGGTGAGCTTCTTCGCTGCTACTGCTCCTTCCAAAATACCAAGTGCTAAGCGACAGCAACCACTGCCGCCACGCTTTTGGTTTTCCTGCTCATGCTGAAGCAGGCCCTTCTGCTTCATGCCGAGCGATTTGCACTGGACCAGGACGGGCGCTATCGGCAGATGCGCCAAGGCAACGTCTTGGTGTCCGAATCCCAGCTTCGAGTGACGTTTCGGAAGCTGCTCCCTCTAGATCGCATCTTCAAGTCGTGAACTCTGAGCAAAAGCAGTTGAGGCCTGGTCGTGGGCAAGAGGCCCCCTTGCCCAAAGCCATGACGAAAAGCTTGTTAGGTCTGTGTCAATGCTTCGTCGGGTCTCCAAGTGGGGCTCGTTGACTTGCAGGGCATACTAGCAGGTGGGTTCGAAGGGCGCAGGCCTTTACCGCCCTCCCAGCCTCGTGCATCGACAGGGTGAAGGGCAAGCAAGAGAAGTGGCGCAGTAATGAGGCAGCAATACTTGTCGAACATCACAACCTCAACTGCACTCCGTTTCACCACCTGAGCGGGATGCTTGCTCGATCGAGTGTCAGAAAAAAAGGCACTGGCGATGTGCGGTGCGCTCACTCAAGAGATAGGACCGTTCTCGAAGCTGTAGCTGCAGCTTGCCCACATGGAGATGCTCCGACGCTCACGCCGCAAATATCTCGCCCAAACATGTGGAAAGACCAGCATGAGGCGCGCCGGGTTGCCGTGGGCAAAATGGAGCCAAGCTCCTCAGCAGGGTTGCTTGCGTTTACTATGGTCACATGTTGTTGCTGTTGTGCAGCATGTTATCGGACCGAGCGAACCGACAAGAACAGTATTCAACAATCATAAGTTGAATAAGAATATATTTACTGGACGTTTGTTTCTTGATACAGAGGTTTCTGGCGAAATGCAGCAAGCTGATCTTTGTCATCCTCGTGCTGTCGAGCGGAGCTGAGCTCTGCTTGGAAAATGGAACAGCGGAGTCACAGCGTGTGTATGTCCTCAATGCCAGCAATCAGCAGAGTCCAATTCGTCTGACATCCTTCTACTGGAGAGCTGCAATGGTGACCAGCACCGTAGCGGAGATTTTGATATCGGAAGTGCTGGGATACCATGTTGTTGTTGATCCTGAAACCAAGTTTTCCATTGAAGATGGAATCGTGACATTGGCAGGGTGCTCCAGCATTGATTGTGATGTGAAAGGCACTCGAAGTGACATTCTACTGGACACTTGGTTGACTGCTGCTCTGCCGTTTTTCGAGGAGTTTCAACTGGCGCAGGGTCAAGCTGCGGAAGACTTGGGATCTATGGGCTATGTGGGTAGTGATGGCCTTCACGTGAAGGGCTCTGTGCTAGAGGCTGCAGCAAGTGATGGTGTGGCCCTGGAGTATTACAAGAGTTACAACCTAACATTCCATGAGCCACAGAAGTATTTTGACACATTGTGGGATTTGCCTGAAGAGCAACTTTCGAAGTGCAATGACTCCTACAATGGAGTCCCTCTGGATTCCGTTGTCTCTGATCGAATGAAGAACTATCTGGACTGGACAGGGGATGTTGATGGGGTGGTGGAACACGATGGCCAATTTGCAGCAAACTGCCCCACCGCCACATTCTCTGCATTTTGGATTGCACCTGCTTGCCGGCACAACTACACCCAATGCATCCCAGCTTTGATGCTAGGCCAAGGACTGCTGCCCTCTTATATGCAGTGGGCAGTGGCGTATGGTCTTCCGTTGGCACTGACACATGCGAGGGGTTTCAGTGAGATGATCTATTTGGTGCGAAATAGACGGCTGCTTTACTACTGGTTGGAACCAGAGGAGACATTCCTGGACCTGAAGCATTCCAGAATCATTCTCCCTCCACATAGCCCAGCTGCATGGTCCAAGGGGGATTTTCGAACTGCATCCAGTGATGTGAACATTGCGAAACTTGTGAGTTCGCACCTTCGCATCTCAGCGCCCAGGGTGCAGATGTTTGTGGAGAGGTTGAGCTTGGAGGCAGGACAGCTTCTGCAGTTACTCGAAGGCAGCGATGTCGAGGCTTCCATAGAGGACAGGTGGATAGTGCTGCGCCAAAGTGCTTGCCAATGGATCAAGACCACTGACATTTGGAAGAAGTGGACGCCCGTTGCCACCGACTGCACGCTAGGCTTTGGCTTGGCGGATGCTCAAGGTTTGCCAGTGATGTCTCTGTCTGAATCCGTGGACTGTCAGATTTGTCCAGCAGGACGATTCTCGGAGCCGTTCCAGCGCGACTCCGGGCAGACCTACCGCTGCCAGCCCTGCAACCCTGGTTATCATCAAAGCCGCTATGGTCAGGGCGATTGCGTACCATGCGACGCAGGCACCTATGCAGCCGAAGCAGGGGCAGCAGCTTGTTCGCCGTGCCAGCGGGGAAGCTTCGCGAACTCCACCACGGCAACCAGATGCTTTTCCTGCGGACAGGAAGAAGTCTGGACAACAAGCAAGGCCGTGCAAGTTGGGGAGCAAGAGAGGTGGATTGAAGTAGAAGGAGCATCGTCTGAAAGCTCTTGTCGCTGCGTTCAAGGACGTTACTTATCAACCGAGGGACAATGCGAAGTCTGTCCTGTGGGTTCTTCATGCCCAGGCTCAGGAGACTTAACGCTTCTCCCTGGCTTCTACTCGACACAAAGTGGCTTGGCAGCAATGTTGGGCTGGGACCTTTGGATCCTAGTCACTGACAGGCACGTACTCCCGAGATCGGGAAGCATGGTTTTCTGACACAGCTGAACGCGAGCGCCAAAGAAATGCCCTGTCTGGCGGTTTTTTCGGAGATCAAAACATGAGCAACACAGCAAGCAAAGCCTTTTCATCTTAAACGCTTCGCGTCGTCCGCCTCGGCCCGGCTGTACTTGAAGCAGGTGCATTGCTTCGGGAAGCAACGGGCAGGTCACACAGGTGATGTCTTGAGTGAATGGGCATTTGCTTCGGGATGCTTATATATATATATATATCAGTAGTTTGCTTTTATGCTGAGGCTCTGAGGATCTGAGCAATAATCCCATGCGAAACGCGGCACATGCCCTCCACTACCCCTAAGATGTTACGACAATAAGCATATCACACTTCTGACTGGGCTCGTGTAAAGCCTCCCGCATGTTGGAAGGGGAAGCAAGCTGTGCAACGAAGTACGAGACACAGCCCCAGAATTCCCACATTTTGGCATCAGCTCCACGAACTCAGAAAAAAAACGACCGGGGACTCTGCGATTAACGGCTGCGCACGGACCTGATCCACTCAGTCTGCCATGGCTGCAGAAAGGCTGAGTAGAACCTGTCACCGCTGTCAAAAATATTGGCACTTGAGCCACAATGGACGTGGCGAGGCTGTTAAAGTCTGATACACGTAGTCTGCGAATGCCTGGACACAGGAAAAATGTCAGTCCTGCCGGGTAAGTGGAGGGGATGAAGAGGTGGTTAAACAGAGAATCCTTGTGGGAACCTCTGACCCCGCTTCGGCCGGGGTCGAGGCGAATTTTGCAGAAGGCCATGTACGTGGCACAACCTGCGGTACTTGACAACAGTGCTTCCAAGCATGAGCCATCATTGTCGAAGAGGGCTAGAAAGTTTACTGTGTTGGGACTTATAGTTCGAAGTAACGTAGTGAAGCAGTGAGTGTGGAACCCAGGTGAGCCCGGCACAGTTCTGGAGTGCTTCGGCAATTCGGGCCGGTGTCCCGGTGGCTTGCCAGGCACTTGTGCAAATGGACGGGACTCAGCGAGTCCTGCTTGCAGTTCCTGCCTCCCGGGCCTGCAGCCGAGCAATGCTGGGGAATGTGTTCAGTGCACAGGCGGAGATTACGCTGCGCTACTCACTTTGGCCTTGGTTGTGTTGCTTGGGACTGCGATTTTGCACATCTGGCTGGCACTCTTGGACAGGACAACTGGCGCCTATCACGGTGCTCTGTTGAGTGCCGCATTGTGCGTGAATCAATTGATCACATGTGCTCAGCTTTTCGCTGTGTTTGAGCAAATGCAAGGCATCAGCTGGGAGGATCCATTTTTGAGTTTCCTCCAGTTTTTCCGAATTCTTTCTCTTGGAGCATTCCTTGACTCGATCAACACAATCGGCTGCATCACTCGCATTAGCTCCGAGGTGACCTTCTTGATTCGGACCGTAGCGGCCCCCCTGTCCTTCGCAATTGGGCCTTTGATCGTGCACATGATGACCATGAAAACAAGCTTCGCGCTACAGGCCAGTGGCCTTCTGAAGACTTTTGGCTTCCTCTTCTTGCTCTTCTACATCTCTTTGTCCGCCGCATTTGTCGAGCCCTTCCGCTGCAACGTGCATCCAAATGGCTCCTTGACCATGCAGACAGCTCACAGCGTTTTCTGCAACTTTGCAGGTACCCACTTCACTTTGGCTGTGATGAGCGGCTTGATTTGTCTTTTGCCGATCAGCTTCCTGGTCATGTGCTCCTGGGTGCTGGTGACTTTGCCGAGACGTGTTGCGGCAGGAAACGCAGCTTTTGTGCGGGCATGTTCCTTCTTGATTCTGCGATTCAGACCAGGCTGCGAGGGATTTACAGTCCTTTTCTTGCTGCGAAACGTGCTGATCGTGCTGACACCCATCATGAACTCATCTACTGGCTTGTTCGTGATGGGCAACCTCCTGGCGTTGACTGTTGCATCGGTTGCATACTACAGGCCGTGGCGATCGGAAGTTGCTACTCGGGTTGACATCGTGGTGAGCTCCGTGTTGCTGAGTGTTTTGCTTTTGGGGGCAATTACTGTGAATGATTCACAGAAGCAGCCACTCATGGTGATATGCACGGTATGTGTAATTGTTGCCCTTCTCGCGGTGGCTTTATATTCGCTGGTTCAACACATTGCTTCCAAGTTCCGCAAAAAATTCGCTTTCTTCCTCTCGCACCACAGATCAGCTTCGGCTGGGTTTGTGCGACTGTTGAGTATGGAGCTCAAACAGCGCGGGTCGCAATTTACCACCTTCGTTGACTCTGACCATCTTACGGATCTCTCGCAGCTGTTCTCATACGTCAGTCATGACACGCAGACTTTCGTTCTGATTGCAACTTCCGAGATTCTGAAAAGAAAATGGTGCATGGGAGAGCTTGTGATGGCAAGACTTGCCGAGGTGCAGACCATCTTGTTGACTTTTCTTGACTTTGATTTGCCAGACGATAGGTTTGCGGAGGGCTATTCGAGAGTCGTGCCCGACATTCGGGATCTCGCTACCTATGGTCTTGGACTTTCAGAGGTGCAGGATACCCTCCGGTGGTTACATACAGTGAAAAGCTTCGCGATCGCTCCCGACTTTTCCAGAAAGAGCCTGGCCATGGCTGTCAGCGAGTTGACGGGAACGACGAGCATCTTTGCAGAGACCAAGCAGCAAGGCGCCGAGTCCGACTACTTGATCTTGGCAGACCCCGAGAACATGGAAGCCATGGCCACCGCTGAAGTCCTTGGGCACTTTATGGTGAATCTCCTTCCCGAGCGAGGCCTTTCCGCAAGGGTGCTCACTGCGGATGGCAACGTTTCCAGGAGGGGCACAGCTTCTGACACTTCTGCTTCCCATCTGACCTTTCATGCAACGTCTCCGGTGTTTGCCTTCCTTTTTCATTCCTGGTGAACACCTACGCACTTACATATTTCATCCACTTGATTGCTTGTCATGCAAGTCAATAGATGCGGCTGCGCAAATCTACGATTATTACCTTCACTTGTCTCTCGCATTGTACATCTACATGCATCCTAATCCTTAGTGTGAAGTCTTGCTGGTCGAGCACTCTGTAGGTCCGATGGTGAACGGGGCAGGCTCTATCTGAACTCCAGCTGAATTCCGATTGAAGACCCAACTGAGTATCGATGCAGCTCTTCTCACTTCTCTCTTGTTCCCTGGCATCGCGAAGGTTTGTCTTCTCTTCCAAACTTCCTTTGGATGAAGTTACGCGTTATGGAATAAGCCCCTGTTTCCACCCGCTTCATGTGGCCCGGGCCCCAGCTATCTTCCCATCAGTCTCAGACTTCCTCGTACGTCCTATGCCCATGTCTTTTGGGCCATTGCTCTCAGCATGCCGTTGCTCTTGCTTTTGCTTTTGGTCTCGCTCTTACTCGTGCTCTTGCTGCTGCTCTTGCTGTTGCTGCTGCTGTTGCAGCTCGCCCTCCTCTTCCTCGGCCCTCCCCATGCAAACATGCAAACGAGTTTTTCACCACGGGCAGGGATGAGTTCGGGAGGATTGGCCCCAACTTCTTTTAATCATCATAGTTGTTGTTTATACTCGGTGAGAATCGTCATTACAGTCATGTGTCTCTTTACTGCTGTGGAAAGACCTACACTCCCCGGTTGCCCCATGGTTTCCACTTGTCTCTGGTCTTCTCTGCCAATGCCCTTCTCTTTCCCTGCCTCCAGGACACATCGGGATAGGTCTGAGCCACCGTCGAGGTCGATTGCGCGGGCTGCCGTTTCTCTGTGGTTGTTTTTGTTGTGGCTGCCAGGACGGACGCTCGACTTCTGCTTGTATGCACACATAATTGCTTCCAATCGGGCCATGTGGCACGGTGGCTGCTGCAAGCCCGGATGGTACCCGACTGTCAGCTCCTGCCAGTGCTTGCAGATGAACTGTTTCAGCTTCCCAGACGCGTCGATGACGCTGCATATGCCCAAATTATCAAGGCCGTCTTCGTGGAAGTGGCGCTTCCGTTTATTCCATCTCAAAGCTGGGAAGTGGACTTGGCCATACGAGCTCGGCAAGTGGCGTTGCGTCTCTACGGCGAGTTGAAACGTCTGCGCACCAAGATGTTGATAGTGGGGAAGACCTGTGAAGTCTCGGAAGAAGTCCTCGAAGTTCCGGAGCAGCCTCCGGGCCCACCTGAGGGCTCTGATTCAGAAGCTTCCAATGTCAGTCTCCAGATCTTGAGCAACCAGGCAATACAGGTCAAGAGCTCCGAAGAGCTTTTAGGCAGGCAGGCTGCCTCAGATCAGGCCGACTATGTGATGGTAGCCTTTTAGCATCGATATAGAGTATAGTAAAAAGTCTGTACATGCGTGCTTATGTGTGTATATATTTCATATATGTATACATACATACATACATACATACATACATACATACATACATACATACATATGTTTGCATGCATGTATGTGTATTTGGCATAACCTATATATATATATACACATACACACACATACATACATACATGCATGCATGCATGCATGCATACATACATACATACCTACATTTGTGATGTTCAGACCTAGGGAGCGCAGGGAAGCACTCCGAAGGAGATCCCTAGCAGGAGTGGAAGGATCCAAAGGATCCTCTCGTCTTCGGAGATTACGAGGAAGTTCTCCGAGCATTTCTTAGAGATTTCTGAGTTCTTGGGTAGCTCCAGGCACGAAAGTCTATCCTCCAAGAGGGTCTTTTCTTTACCACTGTGCAGGGGCTCATGTGAAGAGCAGAACCTTCTTCAAAAAGTCTGGCAGAATGAGTGACTAACCACTGCAGGCTCAGAAGCAAGAGGCACTACAGACAGGAAATGCTGAGGAGTCACGGCAACGTCTGTATGAAGGAGCAGGAACCACCATGTTCGTCACCACTTGCAGGCCTGTTCTGAGAGCATCCATGTCTAGGGGTAGCACGAGTTCGTCCGGCCTCCGCGGGCATCCTTGCAAGAACAGTGGCAACTCAACGCTTTCGCAGCGCATTTCGAGAGCATCATCGTTCCCCCACTGGCCCTACCGATAGCATTTTCCACCTGCAAGAGCGTTTGCACCTGCACAGTTGAGAGCAACCAACCCCCTGTGGCGAAATCATGCGGACTGATTAGATTGAAGTAACGGCTGTACCTGCGCAGCAGTCCAAGGGGATAGGAGCAAAGCCTTATAAAGGGCATCCACATGCAGCCATCTGAGTCAACAGCAGCATTGGAGACTTGTATACAAAAGGACACTTGGGAGACGCTCCCGCCGTGGGATATTGTGACAAGAAACGCCTCCGTTTCACAGAAGTGGCCTTCGCTCCAATGGCCGATGCCCACACTTTTCACCTTCGGCTGTGGGCCCCACGGCGAGCTGGGACATGCCACTTGGCCGCTGAGAAACGAGTGGGTCCACTTTTTATGCTCTTTGTGTATTGCGACCCTGAGGCGCAGCCACCCGACGCCTACAAGCACCCGGAGGACAGGAGCAGAAAAGGGCAGCCACAGCGCTTCTTCAAGCCGTGGGTTTGTTTTGCACACTGCACGTGCCGCTGCAGGCCACGCCTGTGGCCTTTCCCACGGCGGCAGGAGCGATCGAGGCGGGCGGCCCGTGCGCAGCGCAGCTGCGCAGCTCTCGCTCTCGGAGTGATCGTGATTCTGTTGGGAAGGCTGTGGCTCTTGGCACCGACCACTCGCCCCCTGGCCAAACCGAGAGACAAAGACACAGAGACGCGTCCCGGGTGTCAAACACCGTGGGCCATTCCCCCCTTGGCTCCGCTTCGCTCGCAGGTTGGCGGTCGCGGGCGGCCAAGTCTTCCGCTGGGGTCTCCTCGGTGCCTCGGCTCGGCGCAGTGCCCAATGGGATGCATGGCTTCACCCGCAGATGCCGAGGTGCTCATGCAGTGCCACGTGGATGGCGCGGCGGGCGCTGGGAGGGGAGCGCAGACGGCTCCCCGCGCACCGCAAAGCCGGAGGCCGCCCTCAGAGCTGCGAGAAGAGCAGAGCTTTTGGAGTCTCCCCGGACCGTGTCAGCTCGAGGTGGTGCCCGCACCCCTTCTGCTGGATCGCGGAGGTCAGAGCAAGGGATATTCTGTTCTACTCTGTTACAGGCTCTCTCGGAAGTGGGAGAGTTGTACTCTCTCTCTCTCTCTCTCGTAACCCTCCTTTCTCTAAAGCTGTGGTAGTTCAGGAGGCCGCTCCGGACGCTCTACTTCTCCGCGGAAGGATAGGCACTCTTTTTTGCTCTGTTTGGGGGACCGACAGCTTCGAAGAGTCAGGACCGCGCCGCCAGCGCCAGCCCGAGCAGAAAGCAAGGCGAAGCGAGCTTCGAAGCGTTGACGCTCCGCGAGTTCCGTGAGAGTGAGATGTGAGCGCAGTCAAGGCAGAAAGTTTCGAGCGCAGGGGCGTAGGGGACAGTAGGGAACGTTCTCAATCACTTTGTTCATCGTGGAACTCAGAGCCTTTTCCGAGTTGGGGGGCGGGATAAGTGGAGCGGGTGAGGCAGGGCTTATAATCAGGAATTACCGCAGTTGCTGCACAATCACTGAAGTGACACGCCGTGTAATCTTATCCGATGCGCACAAGAGATTTCTCTTCCGCACTTTCTGCATTCATCTTTACTTCGCTTGGCAGCTGCTTTGTTGATTGTGTGCTCTGTTTCGATCTCGTGTCCATTGCTGGACGCTCTTTCCTTCTGTTCCTGGCTCTCGGGGTTGTTCCTGGAGCTGCTTGACCGTCAGGCGGCATAGGCGCTGCCGCGGCGACCATTGCTTGCGGAGGCCACTGGCGTCTTGCAACAGTAGATTACATACGCACTATCTGTATCTACATCTACATCTATATCTATGTTTATAGCTATCTATCTATCTATCTATCTAGCTAGCTATCTATCCATATATATATATATGTATGTATATATATATATACATGCATAGAGTTGTATGTATATATATACACATACACATATACATATTTAGTTGTGTATTTATGCACTGCATATGGGCGTACGTGCGTGTATATCTATGTATGTACATGTATATATATATATATACATCAAAAAATGCGGAGATCCTCAAACAGCGACATACCATACAGAACCAGAAGCATGCCTCTGGTCACGACTGCCGGGCCGTTTGTTCGGTCTGCGTGGGAAAATGCATGTCGCGACTAGTTGTCACCTGTGTTTGTCCATACTACCAGGAGCACAGTCATCACCCACCACTTCGGTGGTATGCTATATGCTTGGAGATTACATGCCGCAACTAATTACTCGTAGTTGTCAGCTGCCTTCGCACTGCTTTTTGGAACCAGTTGTATATACCCTGCCATAAGCAATCCGCGTACCACATTTGTGCTCGAACACGTCTGGAGGACCCAGAGCTCCAGGAGCTTGGGGCGTAAGATACATTTGTACAAATCTGTACTCGAAAACCACGAGTTCGGAGGGTCCTGAGCTCCAGCGGCCTCTACTCACTACTAGCAGACCACCAAGACAGCTCCAAAAACACCACCGAGAGACCAGCAGGAGGCCACGAAGAGACCACCAGGAGCCAGGGCAGGAGACCACCAGGACACCATCCCTCAGATCAGAAGACCACCAACGACGAGCTCTGCACTAGGACACAACCAGGCGACCATGACCAGGAGACCATCCTAGGACGCCCTGAGCTCCCGTTTGATGCGCGCCGTCCGGGAACAGCCATCAACACTTTCTTTACTCTAACGCAAGAACCCCATCGTTTTGCCACTGCTGCCTGGGGAATCAACATGAAAATGTATCCATGTAGAATTTATACATGTATGTATACAGTATACACATAGAGAGAGACCCTATGCCTGGGAGAAGAAGAAGAAGAGAGAGAGAGGGAGAAAACCCATCAATGAACTGCGGGTGCGCGTGCGCGCGCGGA